ACAACAATAAAAAAATGACCAGGGGTTTTGCTATGTATTAAAGATATAGGAACATTTCATGACAATTAAGCTTCTGATGCTCCTGTGTGTTCAGTCTCCAGCGTAGGAGCTGGGCTAAAAAATATCAGAACAGATCTCAGCTCAGGAAACTATGATTATAAGGGCAGAAGGAAACCCATTCTACAAAGACTTTCTCTTTGCTTCTTTCTGGATTTGACAGACCTCTCTCTGCTACTTTGAGTTTTTTACTTTCCTAATAATTATTTAATTTGGGGGCCAGTAGATGGCATACATTGCTGGACTCCCACATGGCCGACTAGTTTGAGTCTCAGACCCTATGGCTTGAAATTTCATGCCGGGTGCATGTGCATGCATGCCCAAGGTCCTAAGTCCCAGGAGGAGAATGAAGGAGAAGGGATTGTGGCATGGCCATCCCCTTTGGGGGCGGGGGTTATTTCTCACTTTCTCCCTCCCTTTCTCTGTCTTTCACTCTCTCACAGGTGAGCACATGTGCCCTAAGGCAAAATCTTTATAAAATAATTATTTAAGTTTATTTATTATTATTATTCAGTTTGACCAGAGAGAGAAATCAAGCTTCTAGGTCCAGGACTTGAACCGTGGTCAGCCATGTGGGTGTCCAGTGCCTTAACCACTATGCAAGTGCTGGCCCTGGGCTTTCTTCTAAGGGAGCTGCCACTCACCTGTGAACACTTATGGTCCCTCCACTCCAGAATGATCTTCTTTTTCTTCACCACTCTCTGTGTCTACACCTGGGTTCAGTTGTTCACCTATCTTTTCTACTCTCGTTACGTGTTACCTTTACCATGGATTTGCCACTTATGTTCTATTTTAATATTTTTATATTTCTCCATAATCTCCCCAACCAGACTGAGTTTCATGAGAGCAAATACTAGAGGTTGTTTTTATCATTGTCTTCCACACTAGATCAAGCATAGTGCCTGCTACTTAGAAGATGCCAAACAGAAATGTGTTTACTGATGTAGTAATTGGCCTTCCTGCCCCAATTCACAATTTTAAAACTAAATAATAAATGATTTTCATGGACTGTGGAAAAAAAAAAAAACAACTAGAATCATCCAGTTAGAAAAACAAACATTTATTTTCATATCAGGTCAGATTCTAAACGCAAACTAACTCCCTTGCCTCTATAAGCTAATAACACATTGCTTAACCTTCACAAATTAATGGAATTGTGAGCTAATGAGTTTATGCTATCGATTGCCTTTGAAGTATTTATTTTTGTCGTGCTTTTTTCAGAAAGTTCTCTCTTGTAAGTTTGGCATGATTGACGCAAAATCCACTTTTCTTGTCTACTGCTTCCTTCCATATATAACTCCACCTTGTGGAATTTATTAACAAGGAGATAATTAAATGTAAACATGTGCCACAGACTGTTTTTTCCCCCTTCTGAAAAGAAGTACACATAAACAAGAGGGAAATAATGTAGTAAGAAAAGGAAAGAGGAACCTAATCATCCTTTCCTTCAGAATGTCAGGAAGAATCCACCACCAGATACTTCAGAAAGAATCCATTGCCGAAGCAAGAAAAAGTGTCTCAGATACAAATCATGTCTTCTTCAGTGGGACTTGACCAAAGTAAAACCCAAGAGTTCACTGGCTTAATCAGTCCAGATGACTCGTGGCCAAGGAAGTCTAGGCAAGGACAAGGGTCCCGTAAGAGGACCCAAAGCGGAAAAGGAGGACCATTGATTCCTGTAGTCATGTGTCTAGAGACCCAAAGAATCCAGGCTTTTGAGCTCACTTAGTATCTAGTCCAACTAATTATCTCAGACTATTCCTACTAAAACATGGGTGGGCCAAGAATCCGTTCATCTATGGGAAAATATAAAACACCTTGCAATGTAAAAGTACGCTAGGGTTTTACCCAGAAAGGAATGAAGAAATTGAAAAGATGGGTTTCTTTTTTTCATAATTGATGTGAATTTCAATTTAAAGGAAATTTCTAACTAGCGACACATTGTCTCCTTCCCAAATGACAGTATGTCCAAAGCCAAATGACATAGTGTAACTTTTCCCAAATATCTGTGTATCCTAAGCACACTTAGTCAGGAAGACTGATCCAAAGACTTGATTTATGTTGCTGCCTGACAGGTGATGTCTGCAAGGCGTGCCGTCTAAATGGACTGCACTCTGGCAGTTACCTTGGTCATCAGTTCTCAGAATTAATGAGTACCATTCATCCCAATAATACATACCAAGGTCAAGGCCTCTTCCTTGCTCTGTAATTCCATTAGCATTGCACAGAAAGCACTTAGGTCAGAAGCTCTGTAGACCTTATCACTGAGCAAATGGAACTGCATCTTGTTTTCAGAGAGTCCTCTCTGAATGCACCCCTTGTCAAAGATTTGTTGAACATCAACATTCAACGTACTTACATAGATAGAAAAAAAATTGCTGGTGAAAGAAAAGTGAGACTGCCTTCAGCTGCCAAGAGTTTCAACTGCTGTTTTCATTAAAGTGAATGCTAATAGAAAACATTTCTAATTAGCCCATGTCAGGTACTTCCAATTACTGAATATGCATTTTTAAACTGTGTGCCCATATTTTATATAAGACGTTCAGTCATTGTAAGCCTAACATAGAATTTTAGTTTTCATTATTCTGTTTTTTCTTACTTTATTTTAATTTTTATTCAAACTCCCCTAATATGGTTAAAATGGCCTTGAAAGAGTTATCACCATAAGTGAATATTCTGTTTATAATAAAACATTCATCTCGAAATCTCCAGCAGAATGCATATGAAAGGTCTGTCTCACAAGTCTGAGAGAATCTTGCTCCTCATAATACCTCCCACATACCCAAAAAAAAAGAAGGGAATAACACCAAGGTTTGAAGTCACAGGCAAGGATTTGAATGGCAGCTTGGACACTCGTTTCTAGTAAACGGAGCCTAATTATTCTGTGTTTTTATAGCTACTTCATTCACAGTGTTGCTGTAAGGATTTAAAATAAGTGCCTAACATACCGCCTATAAATTAACAAGTAATAGCTTATTATTGTTGTTCTTATTGTTCTAGAGCACCCAAAATTGTATGTGTGTAAGATTGTCTATGAGAGAGAGAGAAATCTATTTTGAAACATGCGAGATTTCATGCCCAATAAATCTAAATGATCCACAGTAAAGGAGGAGAGCAGGGACATGAATAAGTCAAAACAGCAAATCCTCCAGATACCATTTGTCTGTTTTTGAAGTGCTTTTTTGAGCTTCATTTCAAATGTCACTTCCTAATATCCAAAGAAATGACTTCAAACAAATGAATGACACTATGATGTGATGTCCTAACTAAATGGCATCTGAAGTGTTGTCCAATTCTCCTGTCCTTTCCTCTTCTTTCTGCAAACACCTTGCCTATCAAAAGAGGGCTGCAGCAAAAACCTGATGCCAGCAAAGCCACTGCCCCTGGCCCAGGACCACTCATGAAGTGTTTACTGTTCCGGGCTTAGAAGCAGGCTGCACTCACCAAATAAAAGTACCAGGTGCTCATAAAGAAAGTCATAGATGAGAAATCAGAGACGGTAAAGTCAAGAGGGACAGTTTGGCATACCGTTAAGAGCAAAGGCAATGGAGTCTGACTGTCCATGTCGGGCCTCAGTGACCTTGGGTCTATTTCTAACTACGCAGTGTTCTCTAAACTGGTAGTGATACCAGGCACCTCTATGATTTGTTAAAGATTATGTTCTATACTTTTTATGTATTAGGTTGTTAGAAAAATCATGACATACGTTTTTATGTTTTTCTATGCAAAAAGTGTGTCATGACTTTCCCAACAACCTGATATGATACATATGTGTGTATATACACTCAAAATATACACACATACACACACACAATCACAGCACAGTGCTTGGTTCACATAAGTACTTGGAAAAGGTAGAAGAGAAATTACTAATAACTTCCAACATTTATGAAAGTAAGTATGTATGTCTGTGTATGTATGTTTAGGTGTGTAAGGTTCAATGTGGATAATTAAGAGATCTGTATTATACTAATTTTCCTTTGAATAATAAACTCTTACTTGCCAGCTGGTGTTTTCCTACAGAGACCTACAGTACCTTTTTTTGTGAAACAGGAGAAAAACAAACTCTTGATCTTACTGGTATCTGTCTAATCCCTCAAAAACAACTCTTTTTCCCAAATGAAGCCATTTTCTAAGTTGGTATTTATGGGATATTGCTCTCTGTGATCCTAGAATTACCAAAGCATTCCTTCAGTTTTAGCCTCATTAAAAATTTATCCCATGGGGCCAGCAGATTACCTAGCAGTTAGATCACTAGACTCCCAGATGGCCAACTACAGTTCAAGTCCTGGATTGGTGGCTTGAAATTCATGCTGGGCATGTGTACATACATGTCCAAGATCCCAGGAGGAGAATGGAGGAAAAGGCATTGTGGCATAGCCATTCCCCCTGGGGGGTGATTTATCACTTTCCCTCTTACTATCTCTGTCTCTCTCTCTCTTTAGTTTCTTTAGCATAGAAACTAAATTCCTGGCCTTTGTTGAATGTTTTTGAAACTGCGTTATTGCCCCTAGAGTATGAGCCCTTTGGGAACAATGGTCTACTCGAGAGATTCTCAAACATACCTATGGATAGGAATCTCCCAAGGAGCTCCTTAGAAATCTGTGGTCCTTAGAAATTCTTCCTGGACATTCTGATTGAGACATTCTAGGGTGAGGCCAGATTAGTCCTAGGCTAATTATGATACATGCCAAAGTTTGACAATCCCTGGTCTGTGTGTTTGAAATTGGCCTGTTACAGCAGAGGACTTGAATTTAGAAACTCAGGTCTCTGCAGTACACATAGGACCCCATTTGACAGCTGTAGTTGTGACTTGAAAACGCAAATACACTGACTAAAGAAGGAATTTGAACAGTGCATTGTTTTCCTTGGAAATGGGACTGAGAGATAGAACACGTTTTGGTGATTACCCTGATAACTTACTTCTGTTGGGGTTTTTTCAGCTGTGCCCCATAAAATCGGACGCATCATTGATGGGAGTCCTGCAGATCGTTGTGCAAAACTAAAAGTGGGAGACCGGATCTTAGCAGTGAATGGCCAGTCTATCATCAACATGCCTCACGCTGACATCGTGAAGCTCATCAAGGACGCAGGTCTTAGTGTCACCCTTCGCATCATTCCGCAGGAGGGTAAGTACCTGAGGCAGCTTTACAGAGAGGTGTCTACACATGGACACACTCCTGGGGTGTTCTCGGGCCTGCCTGCCAGAGTTATGGAGTCCACCTGGCTGCCATCAGAGGCATCAGAGTATTAGAGGTTGATAGGTATTTCCATCTTTGCAAAAACTCACTCTTTTGCAACCCATGTCCTGTTTACTCACTACCAAATTCAATCAGTAATCAAGCTATGCGGTATTACAGGCTAAATAGTGTGAATCCCTAAATACTGGGCTATTCAGTCATTCCCTGTGGTCTCTAGAGTATGGTTTTTATGGTTATATTAGCCAGAACTTATTCAGCAGAGATGATAGAGTTACAAATCTGAAAAAAGAAAAAAAAAATCACTCATGTTAACAGTTAGTCTCTGGAGGATTCTTCAAAGTCAGATTGATTTTGAAAAGCTTGAAGAAGTTTTGTGGTATAAAGAGAGCTCATTTAGAAAATGTTGCATGTGATAAGAATTTTAAGTTCCCATTTAGCCTTTTAAATTTCTCTGTACAAGGACTTCCCCCTGAGGCTTGCAGAGTAGAGAACACCACAACTCATAACCATGCCTTAAGGGACCATGGAGTTCTACATATCAGTTGATGATAAAGCCACCATTTTTAAATGCAGTGAGTCCATTACTAGTTTGCAGCTGCAGACTCATTCATGACATTGAGGAATTCAGTCCCTAGAGCTCACTAGTGAGTGGATCCTGGTGTCTTCTACAGAGGCTGATGGGCTCTCTCACTTGGCATTATCCATTTTCACTGAGCTTTCTTTTCCCACTATTTCCATCTTAGGATGATCGAACACACAGACACAAGTTGCTAAACAACCACCTGACTTTAAATGTAGAACAATGCTTTCCAAATAGAGTGAATTTGTACTTCCAGGGGACATTGGGCAATGCCTAGAGACATTTTTGATAGCCTGGCATGATTGAGTGGGAATGCTCCTAGCACTTGGTGGGCAAAGGCCAGCCATGTGCTAAACTTCCTGTAGTCCACAGTACAGCCTCTCATAGCAAAGAAGTCCCCAGCCCAAAATGTCCACAGTGCTGAGGTTGAAAAATCCTGACATAAATGGAGAATTTAAATGATTTGGGCTTTGAGAAGAGAATAGGGAAAAGTGGTTTATATGGGAATTCTAATAGATCACCTTTCTTTTGTCACTCAACCAAAAAAAAGAGAGAAAATGAAATGGCCCTAGTTATTTTGACCTGTTAGCTGCAGATGCCAGTATGAGTAAAATGTTCAATGGAAATTAACTGTAGGCAAGATTGCTCACTAAAAATATGACATGTTTCTTGGTTTTCCCAGTCTGAAATGTGTGTATCTTGCTCTTATTTCAACACATAGAGGGACCAGCAGAATGCAAAATGGTTATGTCACTGGACTCCCACAAAGTTGACCATGTCCTAGACCTGGTGGCTTCAAATTTACACTGAATGCATGTGCATGCATGCCCAAAATCCTGAGAGAAGACTGGAGGAGAAGGGATCGCAGCATGGCCATCCCCCTCCAAGGGGAGATTTCTCACTTTCTGTCTCTCTGTCTCTCTGGTGAGCCCTATGGCAAAAATCTCTTTATTTTCTTAAAGAATTATTTCATTTAATTGTATTTACTTATTCATTTATTTTAATTTGACCAGAGAGAGAGAGAGAGAAAGTGAGAAAGCAAGCCACCAGATGCAGGACTTGAACTGTAGTTAGCCATGTGAGAGTGTCCAACCCCTTAACTACCACCCCACCTGCAGGTCCCCAGCAAAAATCTCTTTAACAAAATATATGTAGAGAGAGAGAAAGAGAGATAGTTTCAGTTTAAAATTTTATGTAATTAGAAAAAAAAAGCAATTTTTACAAAGAACAGCTTTAAAACATTCCTGTGTCCAGTGTCCTTTCTTTTTTTTTTTCCTTTAATTTTTCTGAAGCACTTTGGAGTCATAAAATTACTAGGCAAGGGACAGGAAAAAAGGTTGTGAAAAACCTTTTACTTTTTTATACTTTGTTCCTTATTCAAACTTTGAAAGACTGTAAAAGCTTCTCTTTACAACCAAAACATAGTGGCTAAAACATTTCCTCTCAGCAAGTAATGCTAGAAAAATAGAATGTGTTTTCAAGCTTACTCCTTTGAGTTATTTTTTCATAATTTTAATAGTTTGGGTTTATTTGTTTTTAATATTCTGACAAAATGACAAGAGACTCCGTTCATATATCTTGGTTTAGCCAGTTACAGTGAAGGAAGGAATACCAGTTCCATGGGTAGTACTATAACTTGATGAGCTGAACCTCCTGTCTTAAAGCCTAACAGAAACAGAAGTGACCAAGTCCTTGGGTCATCTGAGAGGCAAAGAATTACCAGCTCTGGTCACCTCTAGCTCATTATCAATGCTGACTTGACGGCATCTGCTGCTTTGCTTCCCATCACAGAGCTCAACAGCCCCGCCTCGGCACCCAGCTCAGAGAAGCAGAGTCCCATGGCCCAGCAACACAGCCCTGTGGCCCAGCAGAGTCCTCTGGCCCAACCAAGCCCGGCTACCCCCAACAGCCCCATCACACAACCAGCTCCTCCCCAGCCCCTTCAGCTGCAAGGACATGAAAACAGGTAACGTTCCTTTTGGCTTTTTCAGTTTTAAGAGGTGAGGAAAGTAGGGAGAGGGAGTGTTAGGGACAAGACAAGTCTCAGGCAGGGAGAGAGATCTTCATAAAGTAGGAATTGTCCTGTACACCTCTGTGATTGTGATTTTGAGATTGTGAAATATATATGTATGTATGTGTGTGTGTTTGCGTGTACTTAATGAAACATTAGAATGTTTATTTATTTATTTATTTATTTATTAGTAACTATAACTGTCTGTTCTTCATAGTAAGAGAACGTTTTCTGAAGAGATGATAAGTAGTTGCTGATAACTAGGGGTTAACCAGATGAAGAGAACATTTTGTAGAATAAAGAACATCGATGAAAACCCTCTGGCAGAAGGAAGCATGCAAGCATGAAGAATGGAAATAAGGCAATATAGAGAGGCTTGAGATGAAGCCAGCGAGGGTGGCAGAGGCCAACCCTAAAGGGCCTTGTAAGCATGAAGGTTTTGATCTTTATCTTAAGTGTTGTGGGGAAGCATTGAACAGTTTTAAACTGAAGACTGACAGTGCCAGATTTGCTTGTCAGGAAGATCTCTCAGTCTGCCCTGTAGAGAGAGCATGCAAGGGGATCAGGGTGAGTGCAGGTTAAGCAGTTAGGAGGTGGCTATATACATCCACTGAGCCATGAAGGTAGTAGTGGCTCAGAGAACAGAATGATAGTGAGGTGGAAGTGGGGAAATGTCAAGGGATTTATAGGCATTAGTAAATGTTGGCATTTTTATTGTTTGGATTGAATGATAACTTTACATCCTCCTACACACAAAATTATGAGGTTCTTCCATTCCACATCTAGGGTTAAGGGTAAACGTCATGAACTAACCCGAATAAGGCACTTAAAACTTCCAGGAACAAAATGGTGTCATGTAAAAACAATATTGTCTTCTTAGAATGACTTGTGTGTAACAGGGAGACAGGGGTGGGTGGAGCCATTAAAGAAAAAGATAAAGACATGCTGTCGTGTTGGTTTCCCCCTTTTAGCAGAAGAAAAAACAGAACAACTCACGGGAACCTCTCTGTATACAAAACCCTCCTTGGCCTTTTCCATGATTCCAATGTTTTCTTAACATCTGCTTCCTATCTCTTGCCTCCCATATTGGTGAAGATGAAGTGAGACTCTGTTTTTGATTCCCAGAACACTCTGGGTTCATCATTCACACCGTTGCAAAGCAAATATTTTCCCGGTGCCACAGGTGGTGTTTCTATGAAGTTCTCCACTACTCTGATTTCCCCATTTGCTTTCATAGGAAAGTAAATGTCTGGCTGTCCTCAGCTGTTTATATTTTTAATATATGCTAGGGAAGAAAAAAGCCCCATAAAGCAAATGATGCAGAGGTAAGAATTTGACAATCCAGGAGAAGAGTAAGTCCTGGATGCCTCAGTAATAAGCCCCAGATGTGTTCACTTGCCCTGCGTGTTATTTCGACAGATTGCACCGGCTTTCTCCAGAATTCATTTCAGACTCAGGAGGAAAGACCTGAGGGCCCCAGCAGTCCCCAAGCCAGCTTTAGGTTCTTCTTGGTTTTGCTACTGTAGATTAATCTCACAACCACAATCCATCTTCTCTTTTCCACAGTCAGACTCCCTAGACATAGCTCTTGCTTCTAGCTCTGGGTGGGTAATCTTATCCCCGGTGTGCTAGGCTACCGTGGACAGAACAGTGGGTATAGCCTTCATTGTATTCCACCTGTAACCAGCTCACAACTAGGACAGCCTGGCCCCTGTCACACAAGCGATAGTCTTTGAATATTTTTATTTTCTGACTACAGAATAAAATATTTCCTAACTATGAGATTAACAATTGACCTGATTCAAATTTTATAAATCACCAACATATTTTTCCGGCATTATTATCTTGCTTCCGGAAATTAACAGCCTGGGAAGAGTCCACTCCAATTCTAGGGCCCTTTACTGACACTTGGGTTTTCTGGCTTAAGTCTTTGATTATGAGTAGTGGCTATTTGCATATTAATTAGTAATTTTATACATATCAGAAATATTTACCTAGCCACATTTAAAGATGGCCATGGGGGGCCAGCAGGTGGTGTGGTAGTTAGACACTGGACTCCCTCATGGGAGACTGTGGTTCAAGTCCCAGACCTGGTGGCTTGCTTTCTCACTCCCCACCCCCCACCTTTCTCTCATACTTTGTCCCTCTCTGGTCAAATTAAAATAAATAGAGTTCAATAAAATAATCCTAAAGATGGTCACGGTATCAGGGAGTGGGTTGGAGGAGGAACTCTGCCTTTGTTTAGATCAGACTAGAGATGTCTTCAGGACTGCTTGCTTATATGCCAAGTGCATGATACTCATTTCCTGTTACTTCGTTTGTACAAGGGGTGTCCACCTACATAGCAAATTGAGCCAGTTCCCATAATTGAGTGGGATAAGCTAAAGTGACAATCTGCTTGCCAATTTCTGTGAGTTAAAATGAGTGCTATCTTATCCTGCCTTGTTTACTCCTGGATTGACTTCCCAAGACACCATGAATACTTCTACCCATCGTCCATCCTTTAGCATCCTTTTAGTATGTACTCAGAAAACATGAAATATTTAAATATAAAAGCAAGCAAAGCACTATTAAAGGAGAGGCATTTGGGAAAACAGCAAAAAAGTCATTCTGGACCATATCCCCAAACTAAGAATAAATAGCAAAGTTCACCTTCTCCAGCAAAGACAGTGATACTGACTGCAAGTTAAAATGGTAAGGTCAATGGCAAAAGTCTCTGGCTTCTTCCAGAGACTTTTGAGTCCTGTGTTTTCAAGGTTATACATGATCCTGAAGACCCACGCAATATGCAGTCTCTCCATGGATAGCATTTCCTGGTTCTGGAACTTTTTTATCCCAGAAAACCTGTTATAATTTACCATTAGCAATTTGGTTCTAATATCTCTAAACTCTCTTTAATCATGGAATTAAGAACTATGAAGACTTATATTGAAGGCCTTTCTTTTAAAAACAATTATTTTATTTAACTTTATTTTTATCTATTTATTTTAATTTGACCAGAGAGGAACAGTGAGTGGAGGGGGGAGAGAGCAAGCTGCCAAGTCCAGGACTCGAACTGGGGTCAGCCATCTGGGAGTAAAACACTCTTAACCACCACGCCAGTGGCCAGCCCCAAGGACTTCTCTCATAATAAAAGGAACTTTCGTGCACAAGATCCCAAGAGGAAAATGAAGGAGAAGGGATTGCAGCATGACCATCCCCCCTGGGGGGTGATTTCTCGCTTTCTGTCTCTATGTCTCTCTCTGTCTGGCGAGCACACGTGCCCTATAGCGAAAACCTCTCCAAAAAATAAATAAGTAAAAGGAACTTTAAAGAGCCAGTTTAAAAACCAAACCAAAACAAAAAACTGAATTTACCTTAAAATATTTTGTAAATTTTAAGGAACATAATTTTTGCCCTAGCCAATGTATCACTCACTTAGAAGTTAGCAACATTCTATTAAAAATTAGGTATTTTTTAAATTAATATTTACTAAAGAACTCTTCAATGTGCAATTTAGCTTAAAACCCTGACACATTATGACACTGATGTAGAATAAACTTTGAGTGCTTGATGGCCTGGATGAAGTTGATGCACTTTTCAACTGTCCGAGGCATTTGTGTAACCATCGAGGAGAGTCTTACATGCCACCCTCTTTTGCTATACCTCGTGACACGGCTGCTTGGAAACGGAGCACATGATGGGTACTTCATGCCAGCACCACACAGATCATGAAAATGATGTGATTATGCTATAACTTAAAACAGTATAACATCTAGGGACCAGCAGTTAGTGTAATGGCTATGTTGCTGGACTCCCACGTAGTCAAGCGCGGTTTGCGTCCCAGACCTAGTGGCTTAAAACTCACACCGGGCACGTGTGCGTGCGTGCCCAAGATCCCGAGAGGAGAATGGAGGAGAAGGGATTGAGGCGTGACCATCCCCCCTGGGGGGTGATTTCTTGCTTTCTGTCTCTGTGTCTCTCTCTCTGTCTGGCGAGCGCACGCGCCCTATAGCAACAAAACCTCTCCAAAAAAAAAAAAAAAGCAGTATAACATCTAAGTCACCATGACAGCTATTTCTAGAAAGGAACCAACACAGCCTGGCAAATGTCACCTAGTTCTATTCCTTTTGTTTAATGCATTGATTTGCATAGTTAAACATCATTCAGAGTATGTTTTAAATAATTCTCTTCTCAGCATGCACCTTCTCAGTAGGTGAGTGGATGACTGAGGTATAAAGCAAGGCCTAAATTATGCATTTTGCAAAAGGAATGTCTCTTCTCCTCAGGGTTAAATAATAAATAGGGTCTTCTGAAAGGGTTGATTAAAATAACTACGTTACTAACCCCCTTCCTAGGACCCCAAATAAACACATCTATTGCCTGCACGTTCAGTGTGTCCTTACCAAATACTAGATTACACTAATGGCAATTGTTCAAGGCTGTTATTTTTTAAAAATTTTAATACTAATCAGCATCAGTGAGACCATAAGCCAGTAAAGAAACTATTTCATCTTAAAAATAAAATTCTATTGACCCTGAACCTGTTTTTCTGACACGTTTGAGCTTTTCCTTGGTGCTAAATATTTTCTCAATTCCTCATATCCTCCATGTTAATTTTAGATAATATTGTTACTTTGCAAATGTATGTTTTAAATCTGCCTGCATCACTGGGAGTTTGTTATAAACTGTTGCCATGGCGATTGGCAGCAAGCTAAAGAACTAAGTGGCCTCTATACTCTGGTGATAATTTTTCAGTTTACTTTATTAATTATCCCATAATGGTAGATATTGGCTATTTTAGGCCCCTTTTAGAACTCAACTGAGAAGAGTTTAGATTCAGAAAATAGCAGTACACTAGTTCTGATCTCTGTGCTTATTTTATTAGTAACAAATATCTAGAACTAAGTAATAGACAAATGTTGACATAAACATTTTTGCCTTTCCTTCCACCTTACAACCACAGTAAGATTTGACACTAATCCTGAAAGGTCTAGGAGTTAAATACCTCTGTGTGTTACATTTCTAGTTTTAACAGTGATCCAGTGACTTTCTACTTGATTTGTATTTGGCAATTATATCTTGCTATCACTCCTTTAGCCTCTGTAAAATACTCAAAAAATATCCAGTTTGGCAGGTTACAATAGCCCTTTAGTTAGGTATTTTTTTAAATTGCCAGTGGGTGGGTGTGCACATCAGAGGAGGGGGGAGAGAGAGAAAGCACCCCTCCCAGAAGGGCACAGAATCTCTTGTCCTCTGTTTCTCCATCTTGTCAAGATTGGAGCTGGTGTGCACACACACACCCTGCATGGTTTTCAAGCTGCTAGAGCCAGGATTTGAACCATGAAACGAAATGAACCATGTGTGGTCCAGCTCCCTTAACCACTATAGGCTAGCCCTAATTAATGTATTTGTAAAGCATCTAGGGATCACTTCAATCACATTTTTATGAATTGATGATCAACCAAGGAATGTGTGTGTGTGAGAGAGAGAGAGAGAGACAGAGACAGAGAGAGACAGAGATTGACTGAATTTTACTGGTGTTGATAGACCAGTTTTGTGACATATAGTTTAACCTAGATTTGCAGTATTTAAATAGCCAAGGTCAAAGAGGATTTTTCATCATCCTTCCTCAAAGTTCTGGTTGAATCATCATTTTTACTTTGATTTCTGAAAGAGCTTATGTGGCATTTGTCAAACATTTTGAAATAATGTTCACTTAATCTTTTTATAACTCTGAATATGGCACAGAAACACCAGGAGGAGGTGGCACATGCAGCTCTTATGGCTAGACCCTGCCTGGAGGTCAGATCATTCCAATCTGCTTAAAATGCCTAGATACCAAAGCAAATACCATTTTCATTTATTTAGTTACAGGTCAGAAGTAAAAGCAAGGCAAGATGTGAAACCAGACATCCGACAGCCTCCATTCACGGACTACCGACAACCCCCGCTGGACTACCGGCAACCCCCAGGGGGGGACTACCAGCAGCCTCCACCCCTGGACTACAGGCAGCCTCCCCTGCTAGACTACAGGCAGCATTCACCAGACACCCGGCAGTACCCTCTGTCGGACTACAGACAGCCCCAGGTACCTGGGCCAAAAAGCACAGTGGACCTCACCAAGATTTTGCATAATGTAATGAAATAGGAGGGGAGACAACAGGAAGAGTACCCTTTCAGGGCAGAGAGCCAAAGTTCTATTTCTAGTTCTAATCCGGGTATCATTGGCACCCTCAAAACACACTGGATAAATAAGTCAATTTCAGAATGAAGCAGGCAGGCAGGCAGGCAGATAGATACAGATACAGAAGGCACATAGTAATAGGATGAACTAACCCCTGCTAACGGAGCTAGCTAAGTCCCAGTACATTGCCTTGTCAAAGTTTTTAAAGTGTTATCTAGAACCTCAGAGAGTGCTGCTGATGCAAAATATCTTATGGATGTCAGCAGTGGAGGTATTTTACACCCATAATTATTTATATGGCCCCTTACTTCCCACTCTGTAGTAAAGCCCTAAGCATAAAGATATGGCTGAGTTTGGGAACCAGCAGTTAGTGTAATGGCTATGTCGCTGGATTCCCACGTAGTCGATCGCGGTTCTCGTCCCGGACCCAGTGGCTTAGAACTCACACCGGGCGCGTGTGCGTGTGTGCCCAAGATCCCAAGAGGAGAATGGAGGAGAAGGGATTGCGGCGTGACCATCCCCTCTGGGGGGTGATTTCTCGCTGTCTCTATGTCTCTCTCTGTCTGTCTGGTGAGCGCACACGCCCTATAGCAAAAACCTCTCAAAAAAAAAAAAGATATGGCTGAGCCTGAGTTAATAGTCCAGCATGTAGGCTCTGCAACAACCACCCTGTCTGCATGGCCAACGGGGTAGTTGTAATTATTTATATGTCGGAAACCTCTCATAGCGACTATCTTAACCTCTCTGAGCCTCAGTTTCTTAAAGGGGGGTCTTCCTTACAGGCCAGGGTAAGGATTCTAAATTCATGAAGAGTATCTAGACCAGAGCTTGGTGTCTAGCAAATATTCACTACCTGCTTAACTAGATACCAAGATACAAATTAAGTATAGTTTCAACTCCATTGGATTATGTTATGTTTTATTGTGAATTTAAGATCACTTCTATTCTCCAAAATTTTAAGAACAGCGAAGGTCAAGAAATCTTAGGCAGAATGCATAATGCATTTTAGGTAAATGATATTGAGCATCAAGTGCAACCAAGAAAGTCAGACCCCGTTAAACTTCACCTTTCTAACCAGCAAACTGTAATTTATACACATACACACACACACATGCATGCATGCGCACACTCAAAAGATACATTTATTTATGGTTCTCAACAGCAGTGAATGAAAAATCTCAAAGGAGAGATGACGTCATTCGGGCCTATATGCAATAATTACATGTAAACCGATGAATACCATAGTAAACTAGCTACATAGTAGTTGGTTTTTTATTGTGATTATTATTTTTTTTTCCATTTGCTACAGGGCACATGCACTCACCAGATAGAGATAGAGAGAAAAAGGGAAAGTGAGAAAGCAAGGCACTAGGTCTAGGACTCGAACCACAGTCCACCATGTGGTAGTCCAGCACCTTAACCACCATGCCACCTGCTGGTCCCCACAGTAGTTCTTTTAATGACTAAGTAAACTGTGTTCTAATCTTCTCAAACTTTTGGAATCTTGTCTTACATTTTGTTCAATAGTGAAGTTAGATTAGTTCTCACATCATGTCATTTGGAACACACTGACCATGAGAGAGAACAGAAAGACTGACCATAAAAGATTCTCTGAGGGGCCAGCAGGTGGTGTGGTGGTCAAGGAACTAGACTTCCACATGGCTGACCATGGTTTGAGTGCCCGATCTGGTGACTTGCTTTCTCACTTTCCCTCTCTTTGTCTCTCTGTGTGTCTCTCTCTGGTCAAATTAAAATAATTGAATAAGTAAGATTAAATAAATTTTTTTCAAAAATAAGGTTTTCTGATACTAAACAAGTTATTTCATTTTCTCCTCAACCCCAAAGGATTTTGATTATTTCACTGTGGATATGGAGAAAGGAGCCAAAGGATTTGGATTCAGCATTCGTGGAGGAAGAGAATACAAAATGGATTTGTATGTGCTGAGATTGGCAGAAGATGGGCCAGCAATAAGGAATGGAAGGATGAGGGTAAGAACAGTCTTTTTAAATAAAATTACCTACTTCTGGGGGAAAAACAAAAACAAAAACAACCTGTTATCTTTGAGGAGTGTTGAAGCATCCTATCAAACCATCAATCAGACTTCATGTAGATTCTGCCTTCTTTCTATTTGATGACCTATTTTTTTAAAAACTTTGCCAAATGCTATTTAGGAGTTATAATCTCTCTTATTTTCCTACTTAGAGTGTTATTTTTCTAAAGAGCAAACTAAAGAAAATGGACAAACTAAAAAATATCTAAAACAACTGGTTGAAATGGAGACCTGACTCCATAACTTTTTCCATTGTTTGATGATTTATTTTCATTGAGATTTAATCATTTGAAATTTATTTTAAGTTTTATGCTTTCTTCTCCCCTCCATGTTGATTAATCAAATGGTTTTGTTTTTCTTTGCAAATATTTCTTTTGTATTGATTGCTCTTTCAGCTTTGATTTGAGGCAGACAGCAGCATTAAGAGAAAAGGGGATTAGGCTTCTTGGATACAAACTATCCTGAAAAATGATAGGTGTTAGAAATTTTCCAATTAGAGTGTAAATTGAGAGTGACTTTTTAAAAATACAGTTACTTTGAGGCATCTGATTGATGGGTAACTGATTCTTCATCTAAACGTACAAAGCTTGATAACAACAGATCATTAGACAGTCTCTCTGTCCTCCTCTTTCTCAGTAAAATGGCAAGTAGTAAGCATATAGAATTAAGGTTAATTATTATTATAAATAAAATCTAGAATTCATTCTTATGCTATCTCCTTGATCTCTAAGTTAATACAATGGTCATGGCTCTTGGTTCTGGAACCTTAGATTCATGTGCTGAGCCTCACCAAGCAATTGTTCTTGAACAACTAAATGTGTTATTTTTGCTTCCACATCTACCATTTCTATGATTCCCATTCATAAAATGAGAATCACCCACAGTACAAAAGTAGAAAGAATGTAAATCATGTCTGTTTTTCTGCCATCTTCTCTCAATCCTTTGACACATGGAAGTATGAGTTGAAATTGGAACCCAGGCAAACCTAACTCCAGAGACTGGTAGTCCATGCCCTGATCCAACACCGACCTCCTCTTACTCCATCTAGATGTGGATTTAGGATAGGCCATCTCAAGATTTTCTGGCTCCACAGCTTCCACATAAACCAGAAGAGCATTTTCTTAAAGGCTGCAAAGCCAGCTCACAAGTGGTTAAATAGAATTTATCTTTGCAGCGCTGGTAAAACCAATGCAACACAGAGGCCAGAAGTGAGATGGTCAGAGGCCTTGAAGGAAAACAAGGACTCCCAGAGGACTTCAGAAGTGGCCTCTATGGGTTCCAAACTGTGGCCACATTTTTTTAATACAGGGTTATAATGGCTTGCTGCTGGATATGTACAATAGCCCCAAGGCAAAGAAGCCTAAAGAAAGAAGTGGCCTCACATAAAAGGATGAATTACTCTTTCTTATAGAATTTAAGCCAAAGCTGTGTTCCTGGCATGGTCCCTAGCGTCACCTGGGACCTCATTAGAAATGCAGATTTGTTAGCCCCACCCAGGGAGGGGACACCTGACTGTGTGATAATAATCTATCCAAGGGAATCTGACAAGAGTGAAGTTGGAAGACCACTAAGCAACTGGTGGGACTGGTGGGATGCCAGTGGCGAGGTTAATGACCCTAGAGCCTAGTCCAAGATTTCTGCCCGGAGTGCTCCAGCAGTTTACCAAAGGCCCTTAAGTCTACCTAAACTCAGATTTCGAATTCTGGAGGCAGAAGCTCAGCAAAAGATGCTTTTTCTTCTGGCAGATGATAAAAATGAGTCCTTTATGGGGTTTCAGAAAGTGCTACTTTTACTTGCGGTCAAAGATTATTAAAATAGTCAATATTTTATCATTTCCTTTGCTGTTTTTACACATTTCTTTGTGTGTAAAAGCTATCAAAACGGAATTATTACAGCCAATTTTAGATCATATAAGTTAGCCTAACTTGGTATATATATATTATATATATAATTTCTAGCAGTATATATATATATATATATATGTGTGTGTGTGTGTGTGTGTGTGTGTGTTTGTGTAATTTCTAGCATTTAATTCTCAAACAAAATGAGACATTTGGGAGTCATAGAAATCAATGAATAAGGTTTCAGTGGTTGATTTTATCTCTGATCTTTAAAATAAGGCTCAGAATTTGGCAGTGATGGATGGAAGACTCTTTTATCTGCTATTTATGGAAAATATTTGATATTCCGTCTCTAAGGTTTTTTCCCACTCATCAATTCTTGCAGCGCCAATGGAGAGCTTGTCTAGGATGACAGCCTCCATGTCAAGGGCAGGGGCTCTTAACGTTAGCTTGGCACCAGCTCTGTGATACAGCGGAAATATGCTGCTTCAGAGAAGCTGGATCCTACAAGGTGATCAAGATTCAAATTTCTGACCTGGTCAGATAGAAACATGCACATGTGCCCAAGATCACACAGTCTGGAGGACTGGGGCTGGGGGCGGGGGTGTGTGGCAAGGCCAGACCCTGTGAAGAGTGCTTTTCTCTCTTTCACACACACATGCACGCACGTGCACACACACACACACACAGTCACTCCTATACACATGTGCAAACTCTATCATGAATTTTTCTCGAAAACGAAAAATAATAATGTAAGCTTAAAAGTGCTCATACTATCTACTGTCAGAATTAGATAATATTTTATATCTGTAGAGTTAAAGATACCGTTTTTCTTGATCACAGCACATAATTAATTCAGGTCTTATTTTTATGTTTATTACAAATTTAATTATTTAAAACTAATCTTTTCCACCTTCATTAGTGTTTGTCAATAACTGATGACAACTTTTAATTCACAAATGTGTTTAAATTATTTCAGCAAGGACCAGAATTGATCAGTATTTGCATGACTTAATTAATGGTTTGATTATTTTAAACTAATGCATAAACTGAATACCATATAGGTTTCCAATTTTCAAAGTTCACAATAAATCAGGAACCCATTTTTTATTTTGTTGTAAAGTGCCACCTTGAAATTATTCATGCCTAGAAACATATAAATCTCAAATATCTGTGCACCTAATGCTTCTAAGGTGTCTGTTACCCCCACAAATGTTTATGGCTTGGTTTGTAACTGCCCAACACTCCCGAGAAAAGTAGGTGAACTAGAAACTCATGGGCTGTCACTGGACATAAGCTTAAAAAGAAATACTGAGCACCAAGCGTTTTCAAGCCTTTGAAACACTCAGGCACGTTTCTCCTTGTTAATGTGAGCCCTTCACTTTAAGTTTTAATGCATTATTTCCTCTCTGCCAAAACTAAATGCACACAAACACACTTCATGGTCAGTTAAGTTGGGAGAACATTGTATGTACTTGTTTCTTTCTCATCATTAGAAACAAAAGGGGAAAACAGGCTATGATCTAATAGTAGCTGGGCTACCTAAGATTAAATACAGTACAGTAAAACTATTCAAATCAGAATTACTACCAACGAGCTGGGGGATACTGAAAAATCATTTAATGGTTGATGGGTTAATGTGCTCTTGGCCTTGGGATATAAATAATGCTACTTCTGTTTTCATTTCTTGGGGTTTTCTCCCAAATTTATTTTTTTTAATTCACAGATAAAGTTCCATGTATTTATCATGTATGCGATGCCTTGAAGCATGCACACACTGTGGAATGGTTAAATCTAGCTAATTCACATATGCATCGCCACCCCACACAGTTCTCGTTTTTGTGTGGTGAGCACACTTCCACTCTCCCGGCAT